TGCAAAGCATAATAAAAAACACAGCTATAAAATGTATGACACCTGGCTGGATGGCAGGACTGTGGAGAAGGATCTGGTAGTCTCAGTGCATCAGACTTAATATGAGTCTGCAATGTGGCATAACTGTACAAAAGGTAAATGTGATTTTGAGTTGCATCAGTAGAAGTATGAGGTACAAGATATGGGAAGTGATAGTGCCTTTACTTGGCACTAGTTAGGCCTCATCTAGAGTACAATGTGCAGTTTGGTGCTCCACATTTTAAAAAGGACATAGAGAAGTTAGAAGCATGGTGCAGGTTTTTCCTCCCAAGGTGGAGAACCTTGCATTTTTCAGTGTTGAACACCATCAGGTTCATGACCACACATTTCATGAGCCTGTCAAGATCTGCCTGGATCACCCTCCTGTCCTCAGGTGTGGATGCTTTACCCCAGAGTTGGTGTCATTGGCAAACTTGGCCAGTCCACTTCTGACACCAACGTCCATGTCATTGATGAAGATGTTGAATAGTATAGGCCCTAGGACAGAGCTTTGAGGGACCCCACTGTTGACTACGCACCAAGACAATTGGCTCCTGTCATCCACCACCCTCTGGGTCCTACCGCGGAGGCAATTCCCCAGCCAGTGGATTGTGGTGAGGTCGAGGCTGCAGCTAGCCAGTTTAGCCAAGAGGTGATCATGGGATACCAGACTGAAGGCTTTTTTAAAGTCAAGATATATGACATCAATCTATTCCCCCTTGTCCAGGTGATAAGTCACCTGGTCATAAAAGGAAATGAGATTGGTCAAGCCAGACCTACCCACAACAAACCCATGCTGGGTATCCCTCAGGATATTGCTGTCAGCTAGTCTGTTAAGGATGGCCTCTTTGATAATCTTTTCCAAGACCTTCCCCAGGTTAGAGGTCAGGCTAATGGGCCTGTAGTTTGTCAGATCTACTTTCTTGAAGATAGGCATCATGTTGGCCCTCCTCCAATCTATGGGCACTTCACCAGAGTGCCAAGAGCTCTCAAAGATCTGTGCCAGGGGCTGAGCTATGATGCTTGCCAGCTCTTTGAGTACCTTTGGGTGTAAACCATCAGGGCCAGCTGACTTGAAGGTATCCAGCCTGTCAAGGTGTTCCTTCACGAGGTCAGCTTTGATGGAGGGCAAGGAATCTCTCTCACCTGGGCCTCTCTGACCCACAGTGGGCAGGGCCATCCCATGGGACTGGTGAAAAACTGATGCAAAGTACCCATTTAGCAAGTTCGCTTTTTCCTGGGCATCGGTTGTCAGTTGTCCCATCTGGTTTTGCAGGGGTCCAAGGTTGCCCTTGCTTTTCCTCCAGCTCCCCACATATCTAAAAAAGGACTTTTTATTGTCCTTCATATTTTTAGCTAACTGGAGTTAGCCTTAACTTTCCTGGTTTGCTCTCTGCAGGTCCGCACCAGAGCAGGGTATTCCTCCTTGGTGGTGGTTCCAGTCTTCCATCCTTTGTAGGTCTTCTTTTTAAGATGCAGGAGGTCTGCCAATTCCCTGGAGAGTTAAGGGGGCTGCTGTGCTCTTTTGCTGCCTTTCCTCCAAGATGGGATGGACTTTGGTTGCGCATCCAGGATTGCTCCCTTGAGGAGCAACCACTCATCCTGAACTCCCCTCTCCTTCGGGTTGTGGCCTTTTTGGGCCTCTCTGACAAGCCTCCCTAGCTTGTCAAAGTCAGCTTTTCCAAAGTCAGGATGGGATTCAATACTGACAAGTGTAGGGTACTGCACTCGGGCAGTAAGAATCAGCAGCATACTTATATACTCGGGAACTACCTTCTTGTAAGCACAGTGACAGAAAGGATCTTGGAGTCATTATCGATTCCAAAATGAACATGGGCCGCCAATGTAAGGATGCGGTCAGTAAGGCTAACTGCACCTTGTCATGCATCCACAGATGCATCAGGAGCAGGGCCAAGGAGGTGATCCTCCCCCTCTATGCGACACTGGTCAGGCTGCAGTTGGAGTACTGCATCCAGTTCTGGGCGTCGCATTTCAGGAGGGATGTGGACAGCATCGAGAGGGTCTGGAGGAGGGCCACCCGCATGATCCGGGGACAGCACAGGGGTAGACCCTACGAGGAGAGGCTACAGGACCTGAACCTGTTCAACCATCACAAGAGAAGGCTGAGAGGGTACCTGGTGGCCATCTATAAACTTACCAGAGGGGACCAGCAGGGAATGGGAGAGACCCTGTTCCCCCGAGCACCTCCCAGAGTAAGAAGGAACAACGGCCATAAGTTGTTTGAGAGTAGGTTCAGGCCGGACATTAGAAGGCACTACTTTACGGTCAGGGCGGCTAGGATCTGGAACCAACTTCCAAGGGAAGTGGTGCTGGCTCCTACCTTGGGGGACTCTAAGAGGAGGCTTGACGATTACCTAGCCAGGGTCATATGAGCCCAATATTCACTCGTCCCCAGGTAGGGTGTTGGACTTGATGATCTACTCAGGTCTCTTCCAACCCTACACCTATGAAACTATGATCGACTGGATGATTGGGGAGCCCCTGACAGTCGATCTCAGTCTGAGATGGACTGTCAGAGGCTCCATGATCAAGAGCGGCAGGATGCATGTGGGGAGTGGCTGGGTGCCACTGTGCCCCCTGCTGGGCTGAGCTGCGCCCCCTGCTGCTGGGGCCAGGCTGGGTGAGTTGGACGATTCCCCTCCCTGCCCCCTGCCACCAGGTGAGTGGGGTCCCAGCTAGGCCAGCCCGGGGCAGGGTTCGACCCCAGGTGGCTCATCCAGGTGCACAGGGGAAAGCAGGGATCCTGCTGCTGCACACACCCTGATGGAGGCCCAGAGGGCAACATGCCCTCCTGATCTATGTGTGGGGCAAGGTGGCTGCTGCTGCATGCTGGGCTTTGCACCCCGAGCCCCGCTGCAGCTTGGGGCTCTGGGTGTAAAGCCCAGAGCACAAAGTCCAGGGCACAGCGGCAGCCGCCTTGCCCTGTGCACAAATTGGGGGGGAGGGGCACGTACCCCCAGAGCTGCATGTGGGGTGGGGTGGGGCCAGGCTCTTCCTGGCGGGTGGGCTGAGCCACCAAGAGGCCAGCCTGTGGCAGTGGCAGTGCTAGGAAGGGGGCCATGGGCCTGCACCACCTGAAAATTTACTGTAGACCCCCAGCCCAGTGCCACCACTGCCCGCCCTGGTTGCAGTGCAGCCGGGAACACCCTGGCACAGCCTTCCTCTCCCCCACCCCTCCTCCCACTTGAGGGCATGGGGGCTGCATGCCCGGGATCTGCATGGGGCAGGGTGGCTGCCTCTGTGGGCTGGGAGGCTGTGCTGCACTTAGGCTGGGTTGGGGGGCTGGGGGAACTACAGCCCCCCACCCATAGCCCCGCTCCCAGCGCCACCACCATGGGCCAGGATCTTCTTGGTGGTCCAGCCCCCGCACCAGTAAGAGCCTGGCCCCAGCCCACAGCTGCAGCCCGCCCCACTTGCAGATCTGGTGCATGTGCCCCCCGTGTCCTGCTGGGGTGTGTGCCCCCCTCACCCCCCCCAGATGAACCGCTTGCGGCTCCATCCCTCCCAAGCTGCAGGGCCTACCCCTGTTCCAGCCCAACTCTCTTCCTCACCACGGTTGGGGGGTGGCAGATTGAGGCCCCAGTGGTGAGAGAGGGAGTGGGGCTAGG